ATAATATACCTAAGTACATAAGGTACTCATACGCTCTCACTCCCATACATCTATACAATTACATCAGTCCCATCCTAAAAAGCCGATATACAAAAACCTTCACGCTAGGTATTATATTCCTTCCCAGGGTGTGAGGGTTTGTCAGATTTGTCACTTTAGATTGGTATCATGCAGGGTTTCTACCAGGGCTAGAAAAGACCAAGAACCTGAGCCATGAGCCTCTGGAACTACATGCTTCATCCTTTCCGCTCCTTAGATGCGTTCGACCCAATCAAGAACCTTCGAATGATAAGAATGGTCTAACGGCTCTGGCTTCGTATAAACACTTAAAACGTCGGCATCCGCTTCCCAACCATAACCGCGAAGCGGCAGTTCCCCTAGTGGATGACATGGATGACATTAGATGAAAACAACGATAATTGGCAACGGGAATAGACAGGACAACGGCCGTGTTTATAAACGAGGCTGTCTCCTATTATACCACATGACAGTTGCCAATCTCTCATGAATTCTCCTTGCGCGATGTATCATATATACACAACACTACCTAACGTCCATAATAGCACAGCTAGCTACATATGCTCCGATGCAAGTCGCCGCTGCGTACCCATATTCGGCCGATTGCAGTTGAATCGAGTTCGCCAAGACACGGCACGGCGCTCCAAGCAACATAAAACATATTAAAGGTGGACAAGGAATCATTCCCGCAAGCGTCTAACCCACGCAGAACGTTGCCTTTCCTATAAAGACCCTGAGCCATCCTCTAAGCTAAAGGTTACTGTCCAAGTTCTGGTCCGAACATTGGCAATATTCGGTTCTCATTATCATAAAGAGAAATCCAAGTTCCCGGAACCCACATTCACTAAGCTCCTGGTTCTCTTATGCAGATGCTAATCTTACTGTGTCTCCTCCGCTGCTGCGACGTCTTGCTTTGAACCTTGACAACTCTACACCAAGTTTTCGTAGTTTCATCAGCCTCACTCTTCGAAATGACTCGCCTGTTTCAGAGGGTATTATTCCATCAGGAATACACAATTTTATATTTTATGCGTTCTGCTGTTTATATTTGGCTAAGTCCTTGGGTTTAGGCATAACCTTTCCCCCTCTTATAAAGGGTTAACCCTATCTGTCACGAGGTGGAACCAAACAGTAGGGAAACGACTTCGTTGTTCCACGAGGAGCTCCAATCTATCTACGAGGATCTGTGTCTATGCATACTGAACATGGTCCTTGTTCTAGATGTCTCATCTAGAATCCTGGCATTATCCATCTTATGCCTTTCTATAGGCACACCTATAAAAGAAAGACAAACCCACTAATCTCCAATTCGGGTATCTCAGGAACAACATTGAGGATGAATCAAATATTTGATTGGCTACAGATCATCTACAGATCATTTATGGCGATTAAATTTTCTCCCTTGGTCTTCTTACATAGTATAGTACCGTCTTCGACCCACAGAGCCGTAGCCAAGACGCCCAAGTACCTGGACGAGATACTAAGCGAACAGAACCAGCCAATTCCGGCTAAAACAGCATGATGGATCCCTGCCGCAGATCTGACAATTAATTACGATAGAGTTTAGGATTGACAAAGTGCCCCCCCGCACACTCCTTCGTGTCAATCTAGCGAACCAACCCGAAGACAAAGGCAACATTTATGAAATTGCAAAGTCGATGGAAGCCTTCAATACCACCCCCCACGACAGGTTTGAGGTTCGTTCCAACCCTAGGAAATCTTGGGTCCAATAAGCTTTGTTCCCGTCTTTAAACTCTTACACTTTTTTATCTCGTTTGCCACAAATGGAGAATTTGCTTAGCCGCCTCCTGCATGCTTTAGGGATGACTGCCCTAGGAAGTATCATATCATGCCACTCCGGAGTAGCATGTTGCTGACCTTCAGATCTATGCTCGTCATCAAGTTGTCGTCAATCATTCAGTCTAAATATGCAATGTTCAGACGAGGTGACTAGGATCGACCGTAGTACAGAGCAACACAGAACAATACTGAGGTTCCTGAAGGGTTGGGATCGAAGTGATGGATCACTTCTTAGCCGCTTTTGTACGATATGGGTCCTAAGAGCCGGCTTACGTGCTGCTTAGTAGCTAAACTCTTATGTCGATCACTGGGGTATGGGCGATACCATGTCTTGACTTACAGCCATACAAGCCACGAACGACACCGCTGTCTTAATAGCCTCCGTGCTGACAATCTTCGTCCGTCTCGTACAAGAAAATAGCACGGACGCATATGGGGAGTTCTTTTCATCATGATCCGCAAACCGGAAGGTTATCTTTGATATTTATCCGCTTCATTCTTAATAGTTTAAGACCCGAAGATTGATCCTCACAAACCGTGTATTGGGTAATACACGCCGTTTTATGCATGGTGCGAGGTTACCGCCAACTGCTCTGGATAAAATAAGTAGGCTATTAGATTAGCATATTGCTTCTCGTTAGACAGTACAAATGTTAGGTAGTTAATATCTACCTTGACAACCTCTTTATGTTTTCGTAGTTTACCTAACGGTGAAGGGCATATTCTCGTCAGCAGAAATTCGGAAACTGAATAATTGCCTCTTATAACTTAAGGGCATATAAGTAGTCAAGATAAATGCGTAAGGGTTAAGCAATAGTAGATTCTCTTGGTACGTGGTCATAAACTTGAGTCTTATTAAAAGAAATAATATACTTACGCCATGAGATCTTGGTGTGGAAGAATAAATGCATTCCTCCTCGTGGTACCATGCAGGGAATATATCAATGCACCCCTATTAGTCTTAGCCATCTTGGCTACGACCAGGCTTTCAATAGGTATTATCAATGAGACCGGGTAAAGTCCACGAAGATACACTTCTGTATTTGTAACTGTGGGGGGAGCTATCCAGGTCAGCCTACATTAGGTACACTACAACCAATCTGCTATTACAATTATACAATCAAGCGCTACTACTACTGGAAACGGATAGATCTTCACTTCAGTATCATATCGGGCTGTTCTTCCCAACAGGCAGATGTAAGTAGCCATGTGCAGGTGAACAAGCGGTTCCCAAGACCGGGAATTGTTGATAGACCTATTAGACCTATTAACTTCAGTACCCTTTGCTGTAAATATCCGATCGCTTCCCAGCCACTTTGCAAACTCCACTCTGGTGGACTCATTCTTGCATGCTATGTATTGAAACATAACCGGGCTATCGCGCATGCGAGAGGCCAACATACTTCCACGGATGCTGTTTGTTGATACCTAGGTACATTGCCTTCTCGAGTGCATGACACCGTGGTATTTCGTATTTTTTCACCAAGAGTAGCTACCGGTCCACGCAGCCACACTTACAATCTATAGCCGCCATCAGACATACCTGGCGGCGGTGTACCTTCGAAAATTCTACCGAGGACCACGCTCCTATCCAATTATCCGTCTGAAACAACAAACTGCGTAGTTTTATGCAGATAAGCTGACAACTTGTAGGCTTCGACTGGGCCACGAGAACCTAGATGTCAAAAAATATTTTCGTTGCTTACGCTTTCCGACGGAATTAAAATGTGGTGTAGATATCGTGTTAGGACCTGGTTTGTTACCTGCGAAGTAGCCATTCCTTAAATCCTGCTAACATGCACTACGAACCTTATACGGCAGCTCGGGGCCCTCGGCCTATGGCTATCTACCATACTCATGAACTTTTCTCAACTAGTTACAGCTTAGAAGAGTAGGTAGTTAGTAAACTTAGAATCATGAAAGCAATATCCTCTTCCCGAAAGTGTGTTTGCAGAGTCTGTAATACCTAGCAATAGTAACCTAGCCAAGGCTTTCAATGCTGTCCGAGATATCTTCTCCGGATACAGCGTTGTAGCAACCACTCGGGGCGACGGCTCGAAACCGCGCTACCGGGCTGCTACGCCGCAGCAATACAGTAACCCACGGGAGCCGTTATGTCTCCATGTAAGGGAAGAGCTGTGCCCCCAACTCGCCGCCCCGGGTAACAGAAGACCTGGAAGAATCCACGAGTTTTCGTAGGGCGCGGACTGATCCGGTGTTCCGCGCGACCTATAATCGTGGTTGGGCCTGGAGCACGCAAAGTAAAGGGAGGCGAACCATATATTGTATCAATACACTTCTAAGGATGCAAAGATGCTGTTTTGCTTCGTGATTAAGCGACCCGGATTCTAAAGTCAAGTACCATGTCAATGTTGATCGCTGCGTTGTACACGAATACCGTCTGGTCTCGTAAGCCTGGAGAAAACTCGGAGGAGCAGATAGTTTTTAGCGATGCTACCCGTCCTACTGGGTCAGGCTGGCTTCTGTGTTTCAATCAACGGATATCCAATAGCTGAGAAAGCCGAAAGCTACAGTGTTTCTACCTGTATGTATCACAACCATTCTCTAATTAATTATTGATAGGATTTACCGTCGTGTGAATACGTAAATTAGTATGTATATACTTAATTCAATGCTTATCAAAAACGGCATTCGAGAATTTGAAAGTCCCCTGAAAGTATCACCGCTTTGACGTTAAACAATCCAGCCCCCTGGCGTCCCAAACCCCAGGGCCGGTTTGATACCCGGATGTTTGTATCTGAATGTACATATATGGAGGAGCCCCAAATGTATCATAAATCACAAAGGACGAGTCATTTTTCTACCTTACAATTCGAGCCCAGCTGGATGAAGCAGACAACTCCAAACCAGCCAGGTAAACTTGGAATATATTGGTAGAAGTAACGTGGCTCCGGTACCGAATAAGATCCAAAAAGAAAAACTACGTACGCCATCTAAGGCTGCTGGAATCAGAGGGCGTAGACTCAAGGATCCGTCACTGGCATAGGTAGGTCTAGATTGAGTACCCAACATCCAACACATAGGGTAGGCAGTTAGGTACCTAGGTAGGTCAGGTACATGTAAGTACTAAATATTAAGAGCCGAGGCTGTTGGTAGATGATCATGATTTATGTAACGATGAGATTTCCGCGAATCTGTCATTTACTAACCTAACCTAGAAATGTATGAGATAATAGATGCTTCATTGATTACAAACTAAAACTAAAAAAACACAAGATATCTCTGGATGACACGTGACCGTTGGTCACGTGCTGATATGTACATAGGTACTTGGGTAGGCACTGTGGGAAGGAGCAATGATAAGGAAGGGCATATACAATATTTCCCAAGTAAAAGCAGAGTATTGGAATTCTTTCTAATACAACGTCTTTTTACCCCCAACATCAAATATCCACAATACCAATGTATGTGATGTATGTTGATGTAGGTCCATCTCCTACATCTTCCTGCATCACCACCCCAAGGTAGATCAAGTGGCTTTTTAGTAACGATACGTCCCCATAGTATTATTCACGAGTCGATTTCCATTTGAACTTATTTTACCTTTCAAGAATGGCTTATGGTAGACGAACATCCATGACACTTTCGTAACTCAAAGGAGAATTCGCACGATTCTCAATCCTACATCTTTGAACAGTGTCGCCCACTGTGCTTCTGTGCGCTCCATGTTAGCAAACGCCGCAAGTATGGTCATGTCAACTGATGCCGCCATATAGTTCACATTTTCCTCTAGAAAAACCATTTCATCAATCAGCAGAACTGATTCGGGTTTCATAGCGGCTTTAATCGTCTTAAGCAACATCCGCACCTTATGACGCGGATGATTGTGCAACACAGCGAGAAGGTGATAGAACTTGACGCCTACAAACAAACAAAGTCAATATCGATAAGTGCGCACCAAAGAAGGACATATGGACCGAGAAGGGGCCAAAAAGGATACATACCAATCACGGGCTGTGGTTCAAACATGTTGTACGCCATAATCTCAACGCCGGGTGTTGGAAGGGCCTCTGCTACAGAGTGTGGTAAGTCTTGTAGGATAACCCGCCCATCCAAGTTGGGATGTTTCTCCTTGAATTGTGCACATTGATGGCCGACTCCCCCTCCCACATTTACATAAAGGGGTTGGTCAGCAGGCCATCCAGCAGTCTCCGTCTCCACAGGATATACCGAGAGCCAAGTCGCATCTGGTTGTCGACGGAGCGCATGGTACGCGTGGAAGTCGGCCAGGTAGGTAGGGTTTTGCGCAAACCACGAGAAGGGATCCAAGGTCGTACGGAAAGCCAGATGAAAGGCTGTGTTTGCGTCATCAACTGGAGTTTGATAACCAGTCCGCTTCAACAAATCCGGCAGGCATTGATATTGAGGTGCAGTGAGCCCGAAGCTGGACGTTGGTGAATCTCTGCTTGCAGGTAGTGAGGAAGTAGAAGCACACATACTAGTGAGATATGCCAGCCTCGACAACCTTCTCTGTCAGATTGCGAGTTGTCTGGTTCGCAGTATATTCGCCTCTGTCCCTCTCTTCCACTGCTTCTATGGCAGCAAGATATCTCAAGAGCCGAGCTGGATTATATGTAAGACTTGACTTCTATATTTGGGATGAGTGTCTTACATATCAATGGCGGCTCGGCTTTAGTCTTCTCTGCGATACGATCGACCGCGAGTGGCTCGGAAGCCTAAATTCCTACCAACTTGGACTGTTGCCGTTTGGAGGTTCTGTTGCGCTATCGGTTTTTTTATTTTTATTTTTTTTGTCAACGTTTGGAGAGTAAAGGAAGGCTGACCATGAACCCGAACATGTGAAGAGTATCGTCGGGGTCTCAGGTGAGGACACTAGACTTTGTAAAACCGCTTCCATTGCTGTGACGAGGATCTAATGGCCGGCCTTGATTAGCATGGATAGGAGGTATTTAATATACCCTGTGCCTCAACTTTATGCACCTTTCAAACCTTTCCGGACTCGCTCACACCCGTTATCCTAGTCGCATAAATATGCGTAAGGCGTCTTGCTAACGCTTATACCTATATTGGCGCACCCGTGGCGTATGACTGCCACTACCAAGGCTGGCGTTACGACACAGTGTCCGATGCGGTTGTCTGTGGGATGAGAGATCCAATCATCATTCACTTTCTCCGAGCAACGTTGTACTGCTGTTACCCCAGCCGGTGATCGTGTTGGTATTACCTAGGTGTGTGATATCGACAGTATTCTCTATTACATACCTAGCATATATAAATATATACCATTTTTTTGCTTTTCTTGCATCCGCGCTTATGGTGGATGGATGGATGCATCCTTCATGGTTAGCCGAATCAGGGTTGGCAGAACACGCACTCCAGCTGTGCCGCGTAGGATAGAATCAATAGAAGGACTAGCGAGGCTACAAGTCCAATCTACCCAGTACAGCTCGTTGCCTCCCGGCAAGAAATGGGCGTTCTCGGCGTGGATAGATGGTTGACCCCTAGTGGCCCTAGCTGCCGTAGGCCTATCATTGCTACAGCGCGTTGCCTCTGCCGCTCTACGCAGCAACACCAAGGAGATTCCCCTGGGGTCGAGCCATCGCGGCGTCTATCATCTGCACCAGACAGATCGCAAGTAAGGGCTATATCAAGTTCCCAAAGGCCCTCAGTCGACCTTACGCTCTTCCTGCTACCTGAACGGGAAAGGTTGTCGTGGTAATACCGCCTTCGCAAATGCACAAACCGCTCACCAGGCCGGACAAACAGGCTGACAGCGAAATCACCAACATCCCAAGCCTGGTAAAGACAGTCCAAGTGCCGTTCGTGATTAGCGACCCGAATATCTACCAAAATGCCATCCAATTCGACGTGGTGCGCAGGAAAATGACCAAGAAGGATATGCGTCTCTTCGCTCCTATTACAGAGGAGATTGGCCTTGCCTACGAGGACATTTGGGGCATATCCGAGGAGTGGAAAATCATCAACGGCTGGGATGCATGTGGACAAGTTATTGCCCGTACGGCCCAGCGCATCCTGATAGGCTTGCCGCTGGGTCGCGACAAGAATCGCTAACCGCCTCATCGCGCTCATGACGCCGCTCATTTTGGCTATCTGCTATGTCTTCGCCCACACTGTTCTCGACGTCTACGGGAGCCCGGACAAGGAGGAGTTTATCAGCGACCTGTATGCGGAGTGTAAAGATGTATCAGAAAAACACGCCAGCCTGGGAACCGCAGAGGCCGTCGATTCCCTCTACTGCGTTAACTCAACCATTCGCGAGTTCATGCGCACTTCTGACGTCGCCGTGACCAATCTCTTCCGGGATGTCTCTGCCGGTGAAGTTGATCTTGGCCACGGCATCACCGTCGCAAAAGGCGCCCACATGGCGTTCCCCACGCAAAACATCCATTTGGACCAAAAGGCACGTAACAATAACCCAATAATCCTCCTTTCCTTAACCAAAAGTTTGTTCATACTGTAACTTCGGTAACAAGAGCAGGGACAACTCCCATACATGGAGTGCAGAGGGCAAAATTATCTTTGGTGACGTAGAAATCCTCTGCCTTTGTTGTGGGAAACTTGAATTCGAAGCGCTGCACAATGTAGCCAAGTAGTAGGTAGATCTCAGCCCAGGCAAGACTGAATCAAGATGTTAGTCTGCGTAACTCGTGGTAGATCGTGGATCGTAGAGGGCACCTACTACATTCCAATGCAATTACGCTTTCCTTTTCCGAAAGGCACAAAGGTCTTGTTGCCCAGCTGCCATGGATTGGGATCCATGAATCGATCTGGGTTGAAGCGCTTGGGCTCCGGATATTCTTCCTCGTTCTGATGAAGCAAGGGTATGGTCATCCCGACGGGTGTGCCGGCTGGTATCCGCCAGTCTGCGTAAACGAGGTCCTTGTCCTGGGCGATACGAGCACTGCGAGTGGCTATGGCTGGAGCCAGACGCATAGCTTCCATAATGATGGCAGTCAAGTAAGGAAGCTGCTCGAGCGTCTTCAAGTCGTGGTCGGGGGCAGCAGCAGCAAGCTCGGCCCGTAGCTTCTGGAGGATATTGGGGTTACTGTAGACGTGGAAGGCTGCGATTCGTATAACAGCAGCCGTCGTCTCGAAGCCAGCGCCAGTTGTGGTGGACATATCATCAAATACTCTTTCAAATGACTTCTCTGGGGGCGGAAGCTTGGATTGCATGATTTCATGGACCAATGTGCGTGGGCCGTCATCATCTGGGGATATTGCCGCCTTCATGAAGCTCTTGGTATCATTCATAGAAATCTATACACAAGCACAAACACAAACACGATACGCGTTAGCTGTTGAACAAGTCATGCATTTTGCCAGTTGAAACTTACTATCATGAAGCGGAAGAAGTCTTTCATGACAGGATCGGATACTGCCATGATCCACTGCGGCGGAATGGACCGCATCAAGGGACCGAAGAAGCGTATAAACTTGGTGGTACGCCACAAAAGGCCGCCAGCCTGGGCGGCGACCACCATGCCGGCATCAAAGTCCTCCTTCCCAAGATCATTATAATGCTTCCCGAATATATACTCGTTGACAACATCTCGCACAAATGCAGTAAATGCGGCGCCGAGGTCTACGGTCTTCTGAGACGCAGCAAAGCCCGATAATCTGCTTGAAAGCGTTTGGACATGCCTCATGATCATATCCTGCTGGTTCGACACCTTGACCTTGGAGAAGAAGGGATTCAGTGGCAGACGACGGTTCTTGTGGAGGATGTGATCGGCCGTCCAGATAGTGGCGCCTTTAGTCGCGAAGGCATCGACCGACCAATCGTACTTGTGCCATACTCCTTCCTGACGGCTGTAGAGAGTGTCGAAGAAAGCTGCATCGTTCACGTGAAGCTCGTAGGGGCTGATGCGAATTATTGGGCCCGTTCCAGATGTGTGTGAGTAATGACGGTGCGGCACCCGGGGGCCAGTTGCTCCTCACCGTACTGTTTGTGCAGTTCTGCAATCTTGAAGGTATACTGGCCACTCCGGTAAAGATCGTAGTAGCCTTCGTACAATCGCGTCACGGCCGCGAGTTTGGGGCCAGGGAATCGGGCTAGAGGGTGCAGATACAGCCGGTACAGCGCAAGCGTCACATAGTAGAGGACGATGGTAGCGACAATGCTCTGCCAGGATAGCAAGCTGGAGATAGCTTCCATGGCGGCGACAGTAGACGGTAGAACGTTGAGTCTACGCGATGGAAGACGGTTGGAAGTTTTGGGCTGAGAGGGGACGGAAGGGGAGGGCTTTGTAAGTGCCTATCTAGTAGGTATGTAAATTCGCTTGGAACTATGCACCTAGGTATGTTTGCTTTTCTTTCCAACAATCTACTACCAGCTGTTGGTTGGAGCAGGGCACAGCCTGCAGGCTCTCGGTCCCACATAGCACAAGGCTATGCGTAACGATTTGACGTAGGGATATAGGGATATAGGGATATAGGGATATAGGGATATAGGGATATAGGGATATAGGGATATAGGGGGCCGATTCATCAACAACCAACCGTCTGGAAGGATCCGGGACAAAGAGCCACAAAGAACCAGTCGAATCCCGTGATTACATACGTGTGTGAGCGGCTACATATCTACGTTGTTGGTATTACAAGATTATATTATTATTAAAAGTACCCAAGGTTAGGTAGGTAATCGTCTATAGGTACCTATGTTTGTCAAGTCTTCTCGGAGCCGAGGAAAACGAGTGGAAAAGTTAAGAAACCCTGCTGCTGTTGGACAACCTAGCTTCTATATCATTCATTACCTATAAAGTAAGTGCTTCTTTTACACTCCGAGCACAACCCCTACCGAGGCAGACATGCAGCTGCACGAAAAAAGGCTACGAGCATGTCGAATTCGGTACCTGCTTCTCACTCCTCCTCTGTTGAGCGCAGCCCTGCGGTGCTGCTACCAAAGGAGACGTCGGTGATGGGTTCCAAGGAGGACGTAGGCAAATCGGATCATCACCACGACAATCCAAACGAATATGTGACAAGCACCAAACTGGCGTTGATTGTCGCGAGCGTGGCGCTTGCTTGTTTCTTGATGCTATTGGACACGATGGTCGTCAGCACTGTGAGTAATCCCTTTGTCGAGCCTTTTCGCCGAGCCTTTTTTCGCTTACTCGCTGACCTAAAGGCAATCCCGCGTATCACCGACACTTTCAATTCGCTTCCAGATGTCGGGTGGTATGCCAGTGCATACCAGTTTGGCAGGTTCGTGGGTTCCATCATTCGCTTAGGAGATGTCGTTCTAAGAGGCCTTGCAGTGCTGCTCCACAGCCACTCACAGGAAAGGTGTATACGCACTTCAACACCAAAGTTCGTATTGGCGATATACGCGGTGACAAGATCCATGGCCAGTCTCCTTGCTAATGTGGTTATAAAGTGGCCGTTCTTGTCGTTCTTCGCGATATTCCAGATCGGTTCTATTATATGTGGTGCTGCTGTCTCATCCGATATGTTGATCGTCGGGCGCGCCGTCGCTGGATTCGGTGCTGCTGGTATCACGAATGGCGCCATAACCATCATTTCGAGCTGTGCACCTCTTGAGAAGCGTCCTGGTATGTGGAACCGCCTAGCCTAGGGGCTTGTGGCCGGATCTTGGAGCCTCTGGAAATTTGATAATCACTAACGTTGTAGAATTAGCACTCATCGGTCTGACTATGGGTTGTGAGTCTTCTTCTATGTCATGACAGGTGCCTCTATGCTCACCCAGTCGTTGCCACAGTGATGCAGGTCGGCCTTGTAGCAGGACCTCTCATAGGAGGTGCTTTTACCACATATACTACATGGAGGTGGTGTAAGTGCTTTCTAAGCCCATCTACTCGTCAGGACGAACAATTCGCTAATATGGTAATATGGACACCAGGCTTTATATCAACTTACCGGTTGGAGCTTTTACTGCGCTGGTCATCCTTTTAGTGCGGATTCCTGAACAAATGCCAAAACAAAAGGCTTTCGTGATTGTCTCGAGATTACACCACTACTTGGATCTTATTGGATTTGCTCTCTTTGCGCCTGCCGTCCTTCAACTCCTACTTGCTCTTCAATATGGAGGCAATCAGTACCCATGGAGGTCTCCCACTATCATAGGTCTATTCTGTGGATCCGGTGCAACTTTTGCTGTGTGGCTCGTCTGGAATCGACACAAAGGAGACGATGCACTGCTCCCGCACTCAATGATCAAACAGACAGTTGTGTGGGCATCAGGGCTCTTCCAGGCTTTCATGATTTCGGCTGTTTACGGTGCAACGTTCTTTCTTCCTATTTACTTCCAGGCTATCAACAACGCGACAGCGATGTTAAGTGGCGTATATCTTTTGCCCACGATTCTGCCGCAGCTCTTGATGGCTAGTCTCTCCGGAGTTCTGTGTGAGTTCCAAGCATCCTAGCACGTCAATCCCGGGTGACAAAGGTGGCTTACTGGATTCTAGTACAGAAAATGGGGTTTATCATTCCAATAGCTGTAGTTGGCACTGTTTTTCTTGCCCTGGGAAGCGGACTCTATTCGCTGCTGCAGCCAGGGAGTTCGACTGGGGATTGGGTCGGCTTCCAAATTCTGGCAGGTATTGGGTCAGGGCTCAGCATGCAACTAGTACGTCGATGAGCACAACCGTTTGAACCGCACGAAGAAACTAACCCTAATCTCCGTACGAAGGCCATTATATCGATCCAAGCCTCCGTTGGAGAAGAGCAACTTGCCACCGGTATGGCCCTCGTTATCTTCGCTCAATCACTAGGTCCAGCTATCGTTTTGGTTGTGTGTAATGTGATCTTCAACTCTAGCTTGAAGTCTCAGCTACAAAACAAGGCACCGCACACCGATGCGGTGGCAGTCATTCAGGCAGGGGCTACAGGCTTTCGTGCCATTGTGCAGCGTGACGATCTCCCTGGGGTCCTCGCTGCCTATGCTGTCAGTGTCGACCGAGTTTTTTATTTCGTCGCCGCAGTAGCTACTACATGCATCGTCGTGTTGTGGGGTATGGGTTGGCATGATCTAAGAACAAAAGGCAATAAAGTAGAAGATGGGGCTGTTCACTCTGATAAGTATGGGGAGTCGGCGTGATCCATACTCTACTTCTTCACCAGTGTCTGGTACTCTGTGTTATGGTGTTGAAAGCTGAAAGCTCAAAGGGCAATCATGGGGTGCGTATACATAGTGGATGGGATCGACTGAGGAAATGCCCATACCCGGCCTGATACTCTTCAAGCGTTACTAGACTCGAGCGATTAGACTCATTTTTCTATTGTTAGAACAAGTTTCTTAGCTAAACTAACCACGATATTCTTCTTAACTACCGGCCATGAAAGAGCCCTCTAGGTTAATTAAGTACCTACGTACCTATCTATGGATTATGTTTAATGTACTTGGACAATAGAGGACATCAAGTATAATTGCAAAAAATCAATAAAATATGACTTGCAGTTTAGGAAAGATGCGAGCAGAGCCGCCGGAGAAGATGGCCCGGGATGATATCACCTACAGCCTGAGGTGTCATATCACACAAGCATCTACATGTGAAGTGATGTAATCCGCATATTCCAAACTCAGAATTATCAGATCCTTCAGCTGCATTTATCTTCATGGAAATACAAATATGACAGGTCACTGGAAAATTGGGGCTTGTGATTTCATGATGCGCTGAACATCGCCATCGTTCCTATGACGTGACTGACGCCAGTAATATGTTCAAATTGAATAAATGAATAATAAATGGAAGAGGAAGATATGGGGAGTATTTCTGTAAGAATTGAGATATATTAATTATCAAGATTCAACGATGAAATAAATAAATATCTTTATCTCAGTTCTACTTTGCAACCTACCTACCTATCACATAACTTATAACCATCACACGAATACACAAAATGGCACCCTCATCAGAGACCCTACGCAACATTGCTGACCAGGCCGAGCGCGACCTAAACAGCTACGAGGCCAAAACCGGTGCTAACAGGACCTCTCGTAACGACGAGGCCGGTGTGGACACGAGAGTAGAGAAGAAGTTCCCGGGCGCCGACGTGCGCTACGACACGGACTTATCCACCAACGCTAGCTACAACAAGCGAATTCCGCCCTATGAAGGTGGAGATATAGATGCACACGGCCGGTAAGACCCCACTCCTCTCTCTCCCCCCGGCTTTTCAGACGGAGTAACCAACCATCTCACAGACAAACCCGTGGGGAGCACTTCGAAGGGGTCGGCGGCCCTAAAGACAAACTCGCGCGGGAGGCGCGGGACTTCGGCGGTAACAACGAGTTCAACGCAGCCGGTAGCCAGCGCCGGGAAGTCGGGTCGTCGGACGTGACGGAGCCAACTGGTGGATCCGGGCAGAGCGACGCGTTCGCCCAGGGTACTAAGTATAACCCGCGCAAGGACCATGCCAAGGGGTCTAACTACTACACACCTGAGAGCGTGTCGGGCAGTATTTCGGCCGAGGGATACGAGGCCCCGGAGAGCGTGGTTCAGAGCTCGAGGGAGGCAGAGAGGTATGAGTAGGGGAAGAGGAGTAGACGAGGCATTAAGTACCGTAAAAAGTTCTATCTTTTATGATACAACTAGAGCAAGGTAGATCTTTATTCCGAATGTTACAGTTTCTAGTGCCGTTGGTGTTATTGACCTAGGTATCTAGGAAGTTCATCTATAGTTAACAGTGTCGTAATAGGAAGAGGTAAAAACAACCATGTCCTCCATTGAAGAGCTGTGAGTGTAGCGGGAGCGGAGTTACTAATATTAAGTCGATAATACATTTGCTGATGTTATCTTAATGGTCTCCTTGCCATGATTTTAGAAAAGATGATAACCTGTCATAGTATCAGTGCGGGTTGGGATTCAAAGTTAGTAATAACCGGGACGAGTCGATATAGAGGCGAGGCGCCATTGTCATTTTCTTATACATATAATACTCTCGGTATGCTCTCCTGAGTTATGTGTTCTTCATCTTCTATTCTAAGGATTTGCCGTGCCGGATGGGTCATTAATTGATCGGATATCAGGGGTCTAGATATCTCGCATTGTCAAGCATAAGGTAAGGCCTCTGCAGTAGTTGAGTTGACACCGTCTTGTCGGTAAGTTCTTGCTGCCTCCCTGATTAACGTCCTCTTTAGATAATGCATCCGCGGAACCGGAAGACTGCGCTCGAAGTTCCCTTCAATTTCGCCTTGAGGACTCGTTGGGGTGAGACTAGGTGAGGTTGCCGAAAATCCCGCTCTGGAATCTTTGGACGTATGACGCGAAAAGAAAACCGAAAAAGGTAAATTAATTAGATCGCGAAGAGTAGAAATACCTTAAAGATCGTATTGCTGACGATGTGATCGGCTGATATCACGCTAGACCGCCTATCACTGTTCTCGAACGTTGTTTGGCCCCTATCTCCCCGTTGCTATGTATGGAGGCTTATACGGTAACACTAGACTAAGACAATGCTGATTGGATAATCTCATTAGAGATCTATCGATCTCAATGTCATTCTTTTTCCTTGCGTTAATATGACGTCTTATGTTACATCTCCTAATAAATATCTGTCTATTCTGGGGTTAGTCGTCAGGTTACTGAACGAGGTCGGCGTTCGCTAACATCTACAAGAGGTACTTTAATAATCTTTAGTGCTTATTTGGACACGAAGATGATATGGACGTGGGTGACAACTATGTATTTCTGAAGTTGAAGGCATCTAGCAAGCGAAACACGGTATGTTTAGTATGATATTCTTATAAAGCATCCAACGCCCGAAGAGGATTTGAATCCTTCAACCATAGTCTATCGTGATACGTGGGTCAGTGATTATAGAGAAAAGTCTCCAACAAATGCATCTTGGGAACTATACTGTTATTTGAAATATGCTACATTAGGGAGTTTGTAAATATCTTTGGGCACCGTCGATCTAAAATTATATCACGAATGGGTCGACATTCTACCGATAGTTTACTGTACATAATGTGACCAGAGGCCTACAGAGTAGGGGACGATCTTTACGATGTCACATCGCATATACGAGGAATCCAGGCACTGTGCCAATTTGACTGAAAGGAATACCCAATCTAACCAGCATTGTATGTGCCTTACAAGTATGAGAAACGCATACTAGTGATGCTTTGAGCTTTATCTATCCTAGGTCTTAGGAGCCTTGATGGCCACGTGCAGAGCGGCTGATACGATGTGACCAATGGGACAAGGTCGCTGTGAATTATCGCCTCAGCGCGGAACATCTCCGCTATGATGTCTCTCTTCCATCTCTATTCTACGCCTCGGTGACCTCGTGATGGTCATTGTCTCTCCGACGGGCGAAAGAGCTATCGGCATATAAATTGGATGCTCTGCCACCTATGTAGGTAATGATAATTTACATCCGAACCAGACATCACCTTAGTAAATTCCGATTAGACCATCTTATTATCCTCTAGTTAATATACTTAATATCATTATACTTTACCGATAAAACATCATGAAGTTCCAACTCTCGTCGCTACTTGTCGGCATCGCCGCCGCTGTAGTATCTGCCCAAGATGTCCCGCAGGTTGGCCCATTCGCCCTCCACATAACAGGAAAAGAAGGCAGCTCTATCGACGGTTAGTCTTCTAGTTAACCTTACCAGGAATAGAAAACTTACACCTTATATAGGATATGCCGGTTCGTGCCATGCTGGTGCTGCCATTGAGGGATTGTGCTACTCTGCTGGAGCGCTTCCCGACGGCGTATCCTTCCAGTACTACTTCAATGCTTCTAGTTACACCAAGGTCGACGATAACGACGTCGGCACGCTTGTGTGGAAGCTCCCTTACAACGACGGAAGCGGTAACCAAGCTACTGTGGATCAAGCTCTAGGACTACAGTTCGCTCTGAACAGCAACGTTGCTTCGCTGCTGTTTGGCTTTTCCAACTACTACTTCAATGTTGGTTTCGACAAGGCCAGTAAACTATTCGGCTGGACCTACATCGATGACTCAACCTTCGTCCCCGGAACGAATCCACTCCCTAGCGGTAACGGAACGGCGTACTATCAATGGTATGTATATCATTCTACTTTCGAGGCATCTGTTTTCCAGATCATCTCAAACCCCCCTTATCTCATGTAGCGACTGACCATAAGCAGGTATGTATGCTGGCAATACTTTACTGGCTACTACTACCAGTCAGTTGGATGGACCTTGGCCGGGGAGCCTCACAACCCTACTTGCGAGCCCGTTGATATCACCCAAGAGTTCCCCTCCTCTTCCTAATATCGCATAATATTGGATCTATTCCAAGTTTAATAGCTTTGAATGCCTAAAGCTCTCAAAAATTGGTTCATTGCATGAGAAGCGGGTTTGGCGGTCTTATGGTGGTGATTATTTATGAGAAGCACGAAAGTTGGACGTATATACATTAGGTAACTACAATAGGGCGAATTTAATAACGTCCAATCTTTCCCACAACCTTAAATATTTTACCTCGTAATATATACATTATATTTTCAAAAATAACTTCCACGCCGCCAACAAATCCTAAAACCCCTAAAAAACACTATTCTCCTTATAAAAGGACGAAAATTACATCTTTATTTATAATAGGCTTTTCGATTAAAAAAATTAAGGCGTTAAAAAAGGTCTTATAATAAAATATATATAAAATCAATTTTAAATATAAAGTTTAAAAATCAAACCTCTCGCGCCCCGGCCGTAAGCGTTTTAAAAAGTTATTAAATTGGAATAAAAAACACTTAATAAAGTTTATTATATAAAACCTTTTTATTATAATTAATAAATTAACTATTAAAATTAAATTATAAGTATATACGAAAACTATTATTAATTAATTTAAGGCTTAAAATATAATATATTAAAAAACCTTTTAAAAACTTAAATTAATATTATAACACGTTAAAAAACGCTTGAATTTTACCTTAACATATAAAAAAAACCTATTAAATATTAAAAACGTTAAGTTTTTTCAAATAAATTAACCGTAATTTATAGTAAAAATAAACATTAAACGTAAGTTTTTTACCAACAAATAAATCGAAACCTGTTTTTTATATTTTAATTTAACTTATATATAACTTAACCATTATAACACAATTGATGGTCGTGTGACACTGACATAAAGGCACCTTACTGATGATAAGGTGCCCTTATCGTAGATAAGGGAGGAAGAGATAAGATACCCGACTTTACTGGATAAAGGGGTCGGGTATCCACTATTATTGGAATATAAGAACATGCTATACCTAGCTAGCCTTAGATAGATTCTTCCTTCTTTAGACATCTCAATACACCAGTCTTAACACTATTGATTTATTTGCTATTGCTTTATCGTTATTATTGTTATTCCTATTTATGTACGTACCTACCAACAACAATAAAATAAAAAAATTTTAATAAAATATATATAATTAAAAAATAAACCAATAAAACATTTGCAAATGTTTTAAGCCGCGTTTAAATAGAAAAAACACACTCTTTTTATTAACTTATACGGTAATTTTAACAAACGGTATCGTAAGATTATATTCTTTATTATTTTAAAAGTTTTACAGGAAATATTACTTTAAATTTATACGTTAAAATTTATATTTATTATAAATAACACTTTTATACATAAAACCCGTTTAATTATAAATTAATTAAATAAATAAGCTTTAAATTACAAGATTACATTAATAAATTAACTTTTATATTTACTTAATTTTAACTTTATTAAAAATCTTTAAAAATTATTAAAAAAAAAGATTTATATTAAAAAACTTAAACTTTTAAATATACTTAAAAACGTTATATTATTAAATTTGTTAATATTTACGGTAAATAAGATATAAGATAAATTTTAAAAGAAAATGTTAAATCGGCTAGCTTTTAAATATAAAGAAAAGATTAAAAGTAATTATTAAAGTAAATAAATAATATATAAAATATTAAACTAATTAAATTTAATATTATTAAAAAGCTTTAATTTTAAATTATTACATAATTTAATTTAAAAAATATAAAACTTAATATTAAATTTATAATTACTTGTTGAAATAATAGGATTTTATTAAAATATTTTAATATTAACGGGGTAAAATACAATTAAACGTTATTAAATTTGTTTCATTGTAGGTAAGCAAAGTAATAGCGAATATAATCTTAACCATATTCGACTTTGGATACTATACTTTGCAGAAGATGACTAATTCTTAAAAGGGGACTCAAAACTCTTGTAAGAAGTATATCATTGTGCTAGGCCTATATGCCAGGCCTGTATGCTACACTCGGATAGCTGAGTCTTTCTATTTTAATCATGGGATTAATTGAAGTTACTACTAATTCAGCAAAGCCATGCTCGTGGATGAATAGTAATACCAGATATACCCGTCAACACGATCATCGTAGCCGGCGTTGCTAGAATGCGGGTCGGGATTACCCGCAGATCGCATCTGAATGCCTACCTAGGTACCTTAGGTAGGTTGGTGTAATGACACAGTAGTTGGGTGCTGTGGGAAAAAAAAAAGAAATGAGAAAGAAACTGAGAAAAAAGCAACTCCTGTCCGACTGTAAATACCCGCATGTTTGCATGAGTTGGCTGTATTTCTCTTGCGAGATATGCCAATAATCTAAGATATATCGGGCCGTAAGCGATCCATTGTGCTACTCTTCAACCTCCTGGTTGTTTGCGACTTTGAAAACTCCGAAGGTATCTCTTGGCCTTGGACAAGCAGGAACCTTCTAATCATTGACCTACAGTCCTATATTGCCTCGAAGCATTATTTATTTGAGGCTTGCATCAATCTTTGTCGGTATACATGAGACATATGCAACTGCTGCAGGACGGGAAATGTCAAATATTGGATACCTGCAGTATCTTGCAGATATTAATATATATCCCTCAACATTCAGCTATGTAGTAGCAAACATCCAATCAAGAGGATGTGTAACCCCGGAGATTCTCGTCGTGTAATAGGTGAACATACTGTAGATATGTCGAGCTATCAAACATTGCCCGCTCGCCAGTATCTCGCCGTATCGGGCGTCCTCAACTCAGGTAACTGCCAAGTAAGGGAAATGTCACGATGCTGAATATTTTGGAACGAGGTACCGATTAATTCGCCAGCCTAGGGAAACATGTTGTCCGACTGCTGACGAATCCCTTGCCGGAACAGGATCGGTCAAGCTGACCTGGGGTATATTGTTATAATATATAATGAGATAGAAATGCGTTGGAAGTCTCTCGATTAAGGCGTCGACGAAAGCAAGTCTATCATTCATCAGTCTAAGTTGCAAATTGCTTGTGAATACCGCCAACATATAGAAGCATCTATCTCGGTCCAAACCTGATATATTTAATGAGAGTTAGAACTATCCCAAGATAGTTATAATGATTACTTTTTATAGCCTGGGAACAGCTTTCTTCCTTCTCACCTCTACAACTTGGGCACTCCCATACCCATTCGAAACCGCCGTCACGGTGACAGTTATTGACCCCCCGGAGGCACCCCCCGGAGGATACGGATACGGATCCCCCCCGGTCAGCACTCCCACCACGACCGGGATCACGAGTTCGACGACGAGTGCAACGGCGCCACCGACTACGATATTTCCATCACCACCCTCTGAATCGTCGTCTCATGTTGGTTTTACGGGACACTGCGATTACAGCTACTGTAATTCCGGCAGCAATGTTTGCTTTTATTGGGCCGGGTACACGTCGTGGGATGTATCGCGAGGCCCGATACCTGGCGAAGTTCCTACCATCCTTGGGCCTTGCTAAGTTGGACGAGGGGGGTGGATTCAGCTATATCTCTTGCAAAGGCTGAGGTGGTATTGCAGGAAGTGGGTGACTTTTATTAGACTTGGTTAGGAATAGGTACAGGGGCGAGTATCCTGTGTATCTTAGGTACCTACCTACACCTAAGGTATCTAAGGTAATCCTATCATTCTTTGAAAAGGTCATGAGCGATAAGTACGATGTTACATGGAAAGGAAATTCAAGGGAACAGTCAGATTTGTCGTTCATATATACAATTGGAGCTGAACTAATTAAATACATGAACATCGTTCAACCGTTACCTATGCAAACTCGACGTACGTTCCCACCCGGTATCACGCAGCTAAAAGCGAAGGTGTAAGCATACCGACTAACCACGACAATAAGACAGACATCTAGTTTAGTTACTTACCAGGGCCGCCAATAGCAGTGGTGATGGGACCGCTCTCGATATACACGCCCGAGAAGAAGAAGTCCTCGACGCCGTCGGAGTAGCCAGAGCGTGGCAGCTCGAGAACACCCAGGTGCCAGTCGGCGCCGTTAGACGAAGTCGACGTCTTGACGGGGGCTACCAGTTGCTTCAGCGCGTCGCCGCCCTCCGAGTGCCAGAAGCCGACCGAGCCGCTGCCGAAGTCGATTTCGAAAGCCACGTTGTGCCAGACGTTGGGCTTCCACTCCGTCTTCCACTTGGAGTTTTGCGAGACCATGCTGTGTGGGGGAGTATCATATTAACAAGTGCTACTTGTATGTATATATCGTTTCCAGCGCTCCGGGAAAAGAGGATGGATGGTATGGACACTTACAACTGCAAGTTCAGATTCTCGGTTCCTTGCTCGCCGGAGATCCAACCGTACTTTAACTCGGTAAAGTGGCTCTCGAAGAAGGAGATCTGGTGCTCGCGGTTCTTAGACGGGGCATTGGTGTCCTTGCGCATTATGCTGAAGTGGTAGAACACCTTGCCGCTATTGATAGCAGCCGTAGTCTGGGGGATCAACTCGATGCGTCGCATGTTCTGTCCATTCCAGAAGGCGGTCGAGTCCAGCGTGAACTTGGCTCCTTGCTTCGATACCGTGTCCGCCGGGTTCTTGAAGTCGGGCGAGAAGTTGATGTACTTTTCGACCGAGCCCGATCCGTGGATGTAATATTGGTACGGTCCGACTTGGTTGCCCCACGACCATTTGTTTAAGTCGGCTGATGTGCCCAGATCGTTGAATCGTCCATCCCAAAGGACGGCTGCGTTGGCGACGGCAGCCAGCGCTAAAAAGAGAGTAACCTTCATCTTAGAGGACCTAAGATATCTTAGTGACTACCTTGTAGGTTGTTGGAAGGGAATTTGCGGGCCCGGTTGAAAGGTTATGCGGATTGAAATAGTCAAAGAATGAACCCGGTGTTATATACGGTTTCCTGGGGGCTATGGTGCTTTATACACGACAGTACGATAGAGACTATCCATCGTGCCATTGGCACCCTAACCGGGAAACGTGCACGGGACAGGGGATCCATTAAGGAGAGATGGTCCAGGCACGACCTAGATCCAATCTAAACATGGCAGGTCGGACCGTAGGAGGACGACTAGGAAGAAGTCTATAGCAAAGCTCGTAGTGGACCGCGGATAGGAGCCTCCGACGATCTTGCCCCGGAGATCATATTATATTGAACGTGGGGGACCAAGAGTCGTCGAATTTAGCCTATTGAGATATGTAGACCATACTAGTCATTCTACTTCCCGCTATTCCCCATGGGGGATCTCTTTGCGAATCAAAAAGTGTCTTAGCTTTTGAATAAGCATTTATTAGCATGCTGAAAATAGCTGTAGGGATTACACGTAGAGAGTACAGAGATATAACTTATACATATCATCCTCGGCAATTTATATCAACTACCCCCTCGGCTACCAACCAAAAGTCCTGATAAATAAAGCATAAATTGTGTATTCCTATCGCCTGCGGGGCTCAGAGTGTCACATGGATAAGGAGACGTAAGGAGATATAGGTGAACCTGTCACGAACTCATCGAGCATATCGTGAGTAATCCTCAGGATAGCCCACCGGGGGCATGTTTAGTACTCTAATCCCGCACCGAAGCTACTGTTTCTAGCTACGGTCGCTCGTTCTAGACTGACCCTGGGCAGATCGACACTCCTCTTGCTGTGTGATGTACTCGGCCGTGAATTAATTGGGTCGCCTTGTTCTACAGCAAAAACAGCAGCTGCCGGTATCGACGTATCCTCGCTGATCCTGTGAATGAAGTACGCAGCTACAAGTGCGAAGAAGCCTCCCGAGGCTAAGACGATGGCAATACTATGGTCGCCAGGAACGCCTCTTGGTTTCTGGAAAATACGGAAGATAATACTGGAACCAAGAGTAGCGATGAACTGTGGCGAAGCAATAGCCATGTTGTGAATACCGAGAATAACACCGGCTTGGTCTGGTTCCGCCTCGTCGGCTTGCAATTGAGTCTCCTCGTCGAGGAGCCCGTCGTCAGAGCCGGCGATATCTAACTGCTCACCTCGCGCGAGCGATCTCATTTGTTGTTTTCGGGCTCGATATAAAATATCGCGACGACTAATTTCGGCGCTAATGATGGCCCATGGTGCCCAGAGTGCCAAAGCCCATGTAATACCAAGAAGGCCAATAAGCGCGGTCGCAGCTTCAACTGTTCGGACGAGCACTGTACAGAACATCACACCAGCAAACAGGATTTCCGACAACATCCAGGCTCTTCGTAAGGTAAACCCAGGGATGATTAGACGAGCTAGGAAACTCTTGCTATCGGAAGCAGAACTTCCAAGAAGCTCAGGAGCTTCTCCAGGCGCATTGGCAACAACAGGATTGTTATCATACGTCGGGTCGATGAAGAAAGGAAGCAGAACGTTAGTTGCTAGACTGGTGATGGCGAATATTAATAAGGCAAAGGTGCCCACTCTGGTAGCCCTCTCGTAAAGCTCATCCAACTCTTCGGGAGTCATGTGGGGATTCTCTTCTAGGAAGGGCTCGACGTAAATTTCTCCGATATAGGATGATGTGTAGAACAGCATGGGAAAGAAGCCGATCCACGCTGCAAATTGGACAATGCAAACCTTGGAAACTTGCGGTGGGAGTCTTTTGATCGCAGCAAATATCTTGACAAAAAAAGACAGAAGGCCAGGTTGCTTGGTAGCAGGGCGTCCGTCAAGTTGAGGATTTCGCTCCTTAATGACTATAACGCTCAGTATCACCGACGAACAAAGTGCAATGCTCGCAATCGCGCAGAGATCCTTAAATTGAGTACCCCCAAACCACCAAACATATTTCGGAAGGTCAATTCCACCAGCGATGTACCCAATGATGTTACCAACACCCACAAGCCTGCTAGCCATAGAGTTTGCAGCCTCTTGTTGATGCGATGGTGCACAATCAACGATGAAGGCCCTAATAGATGCTTGAACTGTATTGACAGCAACATCTAGGACGTAGATCCAGATGACAGCGATAACAATAATAGTAATTTTCACTCCATGGGAGTCGGGGTCAACTCCAAACAAGCTGAAGATCCCCCCGATGATCTCTCGAATCCACGCAAGAAACATATAGGCTAGCGATGTGGCAGCAGCACCACCGAGCATAAATGGCTTGCGCTTCCCCCAGGATACTCTGCAGTTGTCACTAAGCATACCGACGTATGGCTGTACTAGAGTTCCAGTGAGCGGACCGGCGACCCATACAAGAGCCATCAGAGACTTGCTTAAGCCGAGAGATAATAGGTACGGAGTGCCGTTAGATAGCTCTACAGCCCAGGCGACCTGCAGTCCTCCAATACTAATCGTCAAGAGTAGGAGGTACCATAAGCTCTTGGTTGTTTGGAACTCATCCTCTTCGGCCTGTCCCTCATGGCCCTCGTCTAGGAAATTGTCTAAGGAACTGTCCCGGCTGGGGGAGAGGAGAGGAGAGTTCTCATTGAGCCTGTCCGGGCCGGCAGCCTCTCCTGCGCTGACCCTTATTGTACTTTCGGACCAGGCGGGGTCAGCATTATTGTCTAATTTTGAGGATAGATCATATTTGCGATTCGACGAAGATCGATGGCCCGAGGACGAGGACGAGGACGAGGATGAGGACGAGGTGCCCGACAATGGCGAGGTCATCGGTTGGATGGTATGGTTTCCGCAACTAAGCTCGATAATATGATGTCTAACAACAAAGGTGAAGTCGGCTACGGCAAACGAGGGAAGCTAACGATGGGAAACGTGGTTGTCAACTTTATGTTGTTATACGCGTGCATGTCAAGTGTAAAAGGTTATGGATGTAGAGAAGTCTCGGTAGACCAGGGTTGGATGAATTTAGCCGTCTAGGTTAGACTAGTTGATGTCACACGGTCTCGAGGCAACAACACGAGACGCATAAGACACCAGGTACAGCTAGAATGGTGGCGCGTGGTAATTGGTTAACGTGAAGAACAAGGGATTAGCTGGACACTTATGTACTTTAAGGTGGTGGTAGTAGGCAAGTAATGTGTAAATAGGTTAATAGGTAGGCACTAATTAGAATGCGCATGACCTGAGGAAACGGATGCCGAGACTTGATGAATTAGGTACATTATTCGATTATTAGTTGCGATGACATCAGGTACCTTGCGACGTAATGGGACTAGAGACTGATGGAGCGTTTCCGATTCCGGGAGGGAGGGACTGTGGAGAGAGGCTAGACTCTGCCTGGTTTAGACGTTAAACTTAAGGTTGTCTTTAGTAACTCTTGCCACTTTCAAGTTGCAACTAATGTTCTCTTCAATACATATGTACATTAGGTAGGTATTCTCAAGAGTGCATTAGGTAATGCTTAGGTACCTATAATTAATGTACATATATATATATTATTGGTGTATCCGTTGGTGCAAATGGTACCTACATATATGTAGTACGCGCGTTGTGTTTCATTAGCTTAATGGAAGAGCCAAGGTATTCAATTGTAAAGCCTACTAATGTACCTCTCCTTGAAGTTTGTAACGACTTAAGATAAAACTGTAAGCGGGGTAGAGGCACACATGTATTGTTCTTACTTATGTACCTATCTAGTGCGAGGTATCGCTATAACCGGACTAAACCGTAAAGTCCGTTCCGGCCTCAGCTTGTTTTAGGTAGGTACTTAGTAGATATCTACAGGTGGGTCAGGCCCTGCAGGCGTATTGTATGTACCTGTACAATACCACATACGCATTTTGCGGTAGTGCGGCGCAATTAGTAGCCAAGAATAGCAGAAGGTGCAAGCTGTCGATTTCAACTTCTCGCATTGATCAAGCGCAATAAACATAATTTGACCTCAACTCGTCCTCACTTCTCATCGAATCGCACCACATCGCCCCGAGAAACCAGGACCCTAGACGTTTCATGCGTTCTCACGCCCGATTCTTAGTGCTCAGTTTGGAGCAAGAAATCTATATTCTACTCAAGCATCAACACCCGACTTGACGTCCTTGTCGCGACCATGTTGACAGAAATTGCTGGCTCCATTATGGAGCTTGTTCGTATGCCAACCAATTCTGATCCATCGTCAAATCTATAACTTACCTAACTATAATGCTCTATAGGACGAGAGGACGAAGAGACAGATCCCGATGGTATGATATTATTACCTAATTGTCCAGCTTGCGGCTCACGGCTCGCGGCTCGAGCCTGCGTATCGACTTGATCTAACAACTTATCAGAGGCCGATTCGGGGCAGAAGGAGATATTCGCATCTTGGGCGCTATTCATATCAATTATGCTCCTCATAATTGCCTTCTTCACTAGCTATATGCTACAGCAGAAGAAGGTCCAAGCTGTCCATGAAACAGTAATCTCTATCTTTGCTGGTTGGTCACATAACGAGAAGAACGTGATGATAACAATTAGCTGATCTTGAATAAATAGGAATGACCGTAGGGTTAGTTCTTAGAGTGAGCACCGGCCATTCTATTCGACAACTCGTTAGCTTCGACTACCAGATCTTCTTCAACTTACTACTGCCACCCATTATCCTAAACTCCGGATACGAGCTACATCAAGCCAATTTCTTTCGGAACATTGGCACCATCTTGACATTTGCCTTCGCCGGTACTTTCTTGTCTGCCGTAGTAATCGGGTTGCTGTTATGGCTATATACCCGAATACCACTTGAAGGACTTGAAATGACATTTATTGATGCCATCTCTGTTGGTGCAACTTTGTCTGCTACAGACCCAGTCACTATCTTGGCCATCTTCAATACCTATAAAGTGGACCCGAAACTGTATACCGTTATCTTTGGCGAGTCTATCTTGAACGATGCTATTGCGATTGTCATTTTCGAGACCGCGCAGAAGTACAAGAGCGATTCCGCAGGTGCATATGGGTTTTTGAGCTTCCTCGAAGGTGTGGGCATCTTCTTGCTCATCTTCTTTGGTAGCTTGCTTATCGGAGTTCTGGTTGGCGTTGGTACTGCGCTGGCTCTGAAATTTACGTATATCAGGAGGTACCCTCAAATCGAAACCTGCTTGATCGTGCTAATCGCATATGCGAGCTACTTCTTTTCTCAAGGAGTAAAGATGTCAGGTATGTCTTTGCTCTCGTATCCTATCCTAATAAGGTAAAATCTAATACTCGATAGGTATCGTGTCTCTGCTGTTCTGTGGCATTACTCTCAAGCATTACGCATATTTCAACATGTCACGACGAACACA